CTCAGGAGCCAACATCCATCTTATTTCCTGTAGAGTAGGGCACCCATCTTCCCTGTACCTGAGCCAAAGACCTAGGAGCACCCTTGGGCCTTCCCATCCTGCTGTTACCATGGTGATTTTACCTCTCAAATCTCTCACTAGTCAGCCCTTCTTCTCCTGGCTTTTGTAGACCAGATTGATGCTACTGTCCCTCCTCAGAACTTGGCAGTGGCCTCCTCTCTGGTCTTGTTCCATTTATCTCCTTGTTATGACCCTCCATGCACAAAAGATGAGGAGCATGCAATTGCTAAAATACAAGTCTGATCTCTCCACTTACCCCGTTTCCAACGTCCCAGGCTCTAGCCTGGACTAGACTCTAAAATCACTTTCCTTTTGTTGTCGGCCTTCTAGATTTTTTTGAGACAGGCTCTCACTGTAGCCCAGGCTGGCCTGGAACCTACTAAGTAGCCTAGACTGGCCTCCAACTTAGGATCCTCTTTGGCCTCATCCTCCCATGCTCTGAGTGCATAGCACCCCAGCTTTTCCATTTCCCTTTCTAGCTTCATCTATTGACACAGCCTTACTGCCCTCCAGTGCCACCATGGCTTTTCCTGAGCCCAGGACAACTGTGCCTCTCCCAGGACCCTTCCTTCTTAAACTCCTAAGAAACACCTGACATATGGGGCTCAGGTTATGACTCCCCTAAAGGACCTTTCTGACCTCCCCATGCTGAAATAAGGGCTCTCTTTTCTGTTCCTTGTTTTTTGAGCTCAGAATCACTCCATGCTGTGATCGTCAGGGCACGTTGTTTTCGTGCTTATTTCTCTGTACTCAGCGTCCAGCATGGGACTAGGCATACAGCAGGTGCTCAGTCAATGCTGAGAGAATGAGTGAGGGATTTGAACTGCAGTGTTACCAGACAACATCTGTGCCAGGGAAGGTGTGTCTCTCAGTGCTGAGGTTTGTAGGAAACACTAGGTGGTTCACGGCCCAGGTGGGAGCTGTGAGAGATTTGGGGTGACATTTGATCTGTCAAGGAGGTGAAGGGGGGATGCTCCCTGCCCTAATCCTCAGCCCCACTTGGGAGAGGAATGCAGCTCCTGGGGTCACAGTGACCTGGGAAGTAGAGAGGTCAGGACCCACCCTGGAAAATCCAGGAGATAGCCCCCTTGCACACTCTTCAGGCCTGCTGGGGTTCTCCTACCAATAAGGCCTGACAGAGGGAGCTATCAACCCCCTCCAGTCCCCAGCTCCATGCAGCATAACTCCTGGTAAAGGGTCCTGGCCAGACACTCTGGGACTCAGAGAAGGAAGGTAGGGCCAGTATGATGAGGACCAAAAGGCAGATATCTCAATTCTCTTTTGTTATTGTTTTTGAGACAGGGTCTCTCTGTGGTCCTGGCTGTCCTAGAGCGCACTCTAGACCAAGCTGGCCTCAATCAAATAGAGATCTGCCTACTTCCACCTCTAGAGAGCTGGGATTAAAGGCATACACCACCACCATAACCTGGTTTCCTTTTTCTTGAAGTAGAAGAAACCAAGATTTCACAACACAAACTTCTGAATTGTGTACTTTTTCTGCAATTATTATATGTATATCCTGTCCCCTGGCTACCATTTTGAAGCACACAAATGCCAGCAGTCCCTTGAGCTCATGGCACATAGGTCCTCATTCCTATATGTGGACTTCTAACTCTATATATGTATGCATGCATGCATGTATGTATGTATGTATACACACACATGACCTTACCACTGCAGCAATGCCCTCTCCATCTTTTGCATGCTTTGCATGCCTCTTGCTTACCTCTGATGATAAAGAACTCACTCCACTCCAAGGCCCTTGTTCCACCGGAAAACAGCTCTGGCTTTTTAAATTTCATTTTATTAACTTTATTATTAAAACAAAAACTCTTGCAAATAAATAAAAACATCACACACCAAAATTAACCAGACCGGAAGTCTTTTTTTTTTTTTTTTTAGACCAGATTTCAAGTATAGCCATATAGCTGGCCTTGAACCTCCATCTATCAAGTGCTGAAATTACAGGTGTTTGCCACCGTGCCTAGAAGTTCAAATGTGCTTTCCTAGTATTCAGCTTTGGCTCTAGCTTGCTGGAGATTCACATATTGTTCTGGTCTCTCCATCATGCAGAACCATCTCCCAGGCTACTCCAAATATCAGCAGGCATCCCCTGCCCCAGACTGCCCAGCCACCTTTCCTTGGGTGAGCCCCCAAAAAGGCCAGAGATGATAAGAGCTGTACCATACTCCCTGCTCCCAATGGCTTCTCCAAAGTGACACACGAGCTACAAACAAATAAGGATGGTGGAGATTGTTGCAAGACCAGCAGAGAAGCCACATGTCACAAGGCAGACCTGCATTATGTCCCTCCAGTCACGGTGGGTGAGACTCTGAAACACCACCTACTCAGCCCACTGTAGGCATCTGTGGGAATGAATATGGGTCAAGGGCTGTGCTGCCAGGTTCTCTTTTATTAGCCAATTAGGACAAAGAACAGGTCACAAAGTCACAAGAAGTAAGACCAAAAGACTGACAGACAGATACACAGGACAGAGCATCATGCTGTGCTATGTGGGGGACGGGGGGGGGGGCAGGATAAGGGAAAGAGAGTGGTCTGAGTTTTGTTTCTTCGACTAACAGAATAAATAAATACAATACACGGTGTTTTTGCCACTGGCTGGTACAACCTCTAAGCACAAATGGTCACAAAAGCTTGTTTGGAAAGCAGTCTATGTTGCTCATCAGCCTCTGCATAGAGGTGGGGACCCAAACCCCTGGACCATGCTCTAGGGAAGTGAGGAAGCAGGACCAAGGAGACCTCAAACAGCAAGAAGCAGAGAGGTATAAGACCTTTGTAGAAGGGCTTGTTAAGGGTTCGATCCTCAGGCTCTCTGCCCTGAATGACCAATGGGCCTGGCGGGGCAGGGGGTGGGGGATGGAGGTGGGGGTTGGTCTGTGTCAGCAGAGTGGGAGGAACAACTGACAAAAATCTAAGAGAGTTTTGCAAAGCCTGGGTCGCCCTGACTTCTGCCACAACAGAATACAACTGCAGGTGGCCTTGCTCCTTCTGGGGGAAGTGGTAATGCCTAGCAATGTCAAGTACCAAGTCCCAGTGACAGTCATTTGCACCCAGGAACAGACAAAGGTTTCAGCCCTGAGCCTGGGCCCAGATGAGATGCTTCAGAAATATGATCTCCTGAGGCTAACCACAATCCATCAGCCATGGGCCGCTGAACCCTCCTCAGCCCAGAACCCCTCTGTCTTCCTGGCCGAGTCTCTCCTTTACTGATGTTCCGTGCCTTTGGACTCACCTGCAAGATTCCAGATCCCAGGGAGATACCCCTCATTCAGAAACCTTCAGCCGCCTGCCTTTGGTGCTTGCTGTGTGGAGGGATATTAGGCTGGATCCTAGGCCTTTCAACCCCACCTCTCATGAGGCTGGGCCCCTCCTGTTCTGTAGACCACTCTACTCACCTCTCCAATTTGCTTTCATGCCTTTCCCGGCTCGGGTTATCCGCCTCCCCACTTTCTACTAACCAAAGTCTTCCCCAGTCCAGACTAACCTTACTAAGTGGACAGTGCTGACTCTGTAGGCCTGTCATGCCAGGCCACCCTCTAAATGTGGGACTGAGGGTTCAGCTGTGAGCCAAAGGAATCTATGTAAGTCATCTTGCCCACCCCCTCCATGGGCATGGAAATGGAGTAGCCCTCAAGGATAGCACTGGAATGCAAGAAAAATAGGATCAAATCCAGATTATCTAACCTAGAAAGGAGCCATTGCACTTACAGGGAAACTTAGTATCCACGGAGAGCTTCATGTATGCAGGACTCATTCATTGTTCCTCAGGAAAACAACAGAAATGTTCTAACTTACACATTAGGCTTCTCTAAGTGTCCGTGCTGAGCCATTATTGTTAAATTTAAATTAAAAACCTCTGCCCTCCAAGGCTGTGGGCACAGAATGCTTGGAAATGGACAGAATCCTGTGAGCCATCTTATCCAGAGCATCCCAGAAGGCACTGGCCTTGCCTACGGTGATACCACCTTGACAGGGAGTCTACAAAGCAAGGTTTCTTAGACATGTAAGACCACCCCTAACCAAGCCAGTGACACCCCTTACCATGCTCAGCCTCCCACAACTGCCTCTGGGACAAATCTTGAGGCCTTGTGTGGCCATCGGGTTTCACTCACTGATAAGGAACTCCAGAGCCCTGTCATGATGTCAGCTGCGCTGCTGCCAGCCTGGCCAATGCTGCCACATGCCCCTCTACATTCTGGGGAGCTGGTTTTTCCAAGACAAGAAGCAAGGGAGAAAAGGTGACTTGAGCCCTTCCTAATATCTAGGAGATGCTGCGGGGCTAGAGCTACCTCCTGCCTGTTGCTCCAGGGTCTCCAAGTAGGACTTTGCTGAATCTTGGGGCATAGACTGGAAGAGGGGCCCACAGAGGGTTCAGGTTAAGGGGTGGGGGTGGGGGGAGATAAGCAGGGCAGAAGAAAAACCGGAAGAAACAAAATTACTAAAAGCAAAAACCACAACCCCCCAAAAAACACTATTTGAGAATACAGGACCCTAACACAGCCAGCACCAAAGGAAGAAACCAAAGGCAGAGGGAAAGCATAGCAGTTAGATGCAGGTAAGCAGGGAGATGGGCTCCAGGCAGGGACAGTGGGGCTGAGGGAAAACCAAGGGAAGAAAGGAAAGGAGGGAGGGAGAACTGGAATGAAATTCAGAGGAAGGGGGCCAGTGGCAATGTGACGGAGCAGGGAAAGGGGCCTGGGGCAGGCAGTGCCTGAAAATATAGTTTTATATATTTATATTTATATCTCACATTCCACACATCGACTTACTAGAGGGGAGGGCCAGGAGGGAGGAGGCAATTCCCAGGAGGGGGATCTAGCCACTTGCTCACCTCCTCCCTGTTTGACCTCCATGGGGTCCAAGCAGGGACATGCACAGGGTGTATGGGTTTCACCTGGGGCTCGGGACTGTGGAGAAGGGACACGGGGTGAGAGGACTCCAAACCCCAGCATCCCTGATCTCTCACGATTAGTTCTTGGAGAGCCTTCTGGGAATCACCATGGGACTGACACAGGGGAACACACAAGACCACGGTGGGGTTGGAAGCCAGACAGTCAGTTGGGAAGTGTATCTAGTCCCAGGGAGGCTGCGTGCTGCTTGGCCCTGAGGCGAAGGTTTTCGATGCTTGTGGTTTTACTGTTCAGGGCAGCTGAAGCAGGGGCCAGGCCTGTAGGGGGCGCCGGCAGCAGTGGGGACCCCCAAACACCCTGGTGGGCAGCAGCCGCGGCTGACAGGGATTGGTAGTAGGACTGGCAGTGCAGTGAGCTCAGTGGGGCCATGTTGACACCTAGGTAGGGTACCGCAGCAGCTGCAGCTGCAGCTGCAGCAGGCGCCGGGCCTCCCACTTCAAAAGACGAGTAGTGCACCAGGTTGTTGGTGGCTGCCATATGCTGGCGAAACTGCTCCTGTAGACGGAAGAGGCTGAGCGGGGACGAGGAGTAGGAATGGGTGGGGCCGAGAAGGCCTCCCGCTGGCGCTGCAGGAGTTATGGGCAGACTGCCTGGGGAATCTGCAAGCAGAGAACAAGAGCCAGGTACTCAGACTATGAGGACTGACTGGCCTTGGAGGAGAGGGTCCCTCGGCTTCCCATCCCCTTGGTCCTGCAGTGAACATAGACTTTAGCTGACACAATCGCGGCACCCATATCAGCCAGGGCATCCTCTAAAGTGATCCTTAGAATTAAGTAGAACTTAATGAAGCTCCCGGGGTTCCTGTCTGAACACTCATGCCTGAGTTCGTGGGGGCGCTCCTTAATCTTTTCAAGGAATACCCAGGATGCTCATCTCCTCCCGCCATCCATCAGCTTACAGTTCCTAGACCCTCTTTGGTTTGTGTCTAAATATACCTCGTGCCAGAGTCCTGTTCCTTCTTAACTATGGCTGGGGGTGGAAGCTCCAACCCAGAGCAGCTTTGTGGGAAAGTGAGGAATATACCTAGTCCTAAAACGATCCATCCCCAGCTAAGGCTAGTGGTGGACACCTTTAATCCCAGCACTCGGAAGGCAGAAGCAGGTAGACCTCTGTGAATTCAAGGCCAGCCTGGTCTATATAAAAATTCCAGGTCATCTGGAGCTACATAGCTATCAAAAATAAAAATAAAAAATAAATAAATAAATAAAGATAAAAAGGAAAAAAGAGCATCCTCTAGATTAGAGGTTCTCAACCTTCCTAATGGCATGACCCCCCCAACCTTAAATTATTTTTGCTGCTACTTCATAACTGTAATTTTGCTACTGTTACGAATCATAATGTAAATACCTGTGTTTTCTGATGGTCTTAAGCGACCCTTAGGAAAGGGTCATGCGACCACCAGTCAATGGGTCATGACCCACAGGTTGAGAATTGCTGCTTTAGACCTCTCAGCAAATGCCCCTTTCACAAGAGCGCCTAATGAACTAGCCCCCTGAGATGAGAAAGCATGGACCAGTCCTAAGAGAAGTTTGAATCAGGGTGAAATCTGCTGTACATGAGAATCTCAGGGACCAGTATGGATTCACCCAGCACAACCAGTACATCTGTACTAGCTGTTAATATATTAAATAACTGAAGTAATTGCTAAATGGTGAAGGGGATCCCCTCACCCGCTCCCTCCTCAGCCTCCCTGCTGCCCAGGCCTTCTGGAACCATCTATCTAGACCTTTCAATGACTCAGTGACTAAAGGGTGGACACGGGTCACAGGTCTGCTATAGCCAGTCATGCCTGACTGGTCATGCTCCTGTGTGCCAGTGGCTCACTAGCCTGCTCTGATCCACATCACATTCTCAAGCCCATCATTCAGACTTGGCTGTTCTCCCTGACCTGTGGGTGACCTTGGGTGATTCCCACCCAAGCCTCACCTGCCTTGGGGCTGCCCCTCTTGCAGCCCAGCACCTTGCTCTCAGATCCAGGGCTCTTTTCAGCTTTGGGCTCCTCCGCCCCAGCCCGGGAGTCCTCCTCACGGTCCGGTTGATCTTCAGGGGCTGACTCACTGGCTGATTGCTCAGACAGGCTCAGTTGAAGCTCAGCAGGGGGATCACCATTGGGCAGACTGGGGGGCTGTTCTGCCTCCAGCTGGGTATCTGAGGCTGGGACCTCCATCTTGCCTTCTCCATGGGAGCTCTCGGCCTCCTTCTGCTTCTGGAGCTGTTCTTTCTGCAGGCTGCGCTGCTTCTTTCGGAACTTGGCCCTGCGGTTCTTGAACCAGACCTGGGGAGCCACAGAGAAGAACAGTCAGGGAGGAAAGGCTGTACTCTGTGTGGTCCAGGAGAAGATGAAGGTGATAGTCCTCCACCCAACCCCATCTATCCTTTCCAAATAGGCATGAGGGAAGTAGGCGTGTATCTCTGCACCACCCAAGAAAATGCTAGCTGCCGTACAACTGAACACCAGACAGATGGCTAATACTCATCTGCAAGGTACAGTTAGGATCTTACCTGCACACGGGCCTCAGGCAGATTGGTACACATGGCCAGCCTCTCACGCATCACCACATCTGGGTAATGAGTCTTCTGGAAGGTCTTCTCCAGGGCCTCAAGCTGCTGGGCTGTGAATGCTGTACGACTACGACGTTGTTTGCGGTGCTGGGAGCCATAGCGGGCCTCCAAGATGATGTCTTGAAATGTACAGCCGTTGGAGGGCAAGCAAAGGGGGCCCATTTAATTATGGGAAATAAGTTTTGAATCTGATCCTGCTCTGACCCACACTGGACACTCAAACAGGCATCAGAGCGGACCCCTGGCCCTTGGAAGTCACCCACCCTCTTCCACCAGCTTGTTTGAAAATCTTTACCTCCTTCCAACCTCCACTCTCAGGACTACAGAGGACTAACTCAGCTTCAAGCATGACTGTCAGGCATGTGAGTGTTGCAGGGGGTGTTCTGATCTGACTGGCATTAAGGGTGTGTAGATAAGTAATACCCCCAAGATCTTAAAGTCTCAACATACTAAGCCAAGAATCAAAACACGTACTTGCAATCCTAGCACTCAAGAGGCTGAGACTAGGAGGCCTGCAGGTTCAAGACTAGCCTGAGCTGTACAGTAGAACCATCTCTCAAAAAGAAAAAAGTCCCAAGATGCTTTAATATTCTGAGATGGTATGATGCTAGTGATCTAAAAAGCCATGTCTCAATGATTCTGATACCCTGTGGGCCTTAGACTCTGGCTATTAATATTCCAGCACCAGAATACTGACCCTTAGTCATGAGAAGCCAGCTTGCCAGTGGGTGCTGATCTCAAGGACTGCTTAGGGGAATTCTCACTGGGCATACTGATCCTCCCTTTCACATTAACTCTTGTTCTCTTCCTCAGTCTATACTCTGATAGAAAAACATGAGGTTCCTAGTCTTATTTCCTAAGCAGAAAGCTTAGCCCTGGCAGGGCCCTCAGCACATGGGAAAGGCTTATTACACCCAGCCTTGACCCTCTGTGGCTGCTTCTTCAAGGAAAGAGAACAAATCCCCACACTGCAAGCTTGGAGGAGACTGGCAAAGATAGTGGACCATCGATTCGACAGGCTTGCCTTTGTGTTTGGTAACATGAGAATGAGCCAGGATGGTATCTCTCTCAGGCTAGTGTTTAGTCTTTTCCCCTTCTGCCTGACTGGTATCTGGGCTGCAAATTCCAATCACACAAAAATGAACCTTATTGCCTCTAAACAGTACAGCTGACTCATACCCTTGTACCCCAGGGCTCGAAAGCTTTCTATAAAACCCCAAATGAGAAATTTATAGCAAACCCTAGACTTTGGATACTTCTTCAACTAAAGGAAGGGCACTATATAACTTGTCCCAATCCTAACCCAGACAGACCTGAGGTTATGGGTGTTACCCTTGGGCAGGAGAGGGGGTAGGAACCATTTAGTCACATCCATTCTGGAGGAGAGACCGCAGCTCAGCATCCTACTGCTAACTCCAAGGACTACAAGAAGTGTTGTAGTCAAGGGGAGACCAGTTCCCTAGTACAGCACCTGCCATGAAAGGTAAGATTTCCATAACAATGTCCTCATAGGGGTCATTGCCTCATTAATTTTGGCAATTTGAAAGTGGGCTAAACACCCAGTTCCTCTGTTCCTATCACTGGGCATGAGCCTCTGTTCTGAATCCTCTCTGTGCTGTAGTCCTTGAGGTAGATGTCACTATCACATTGGGCAAGGAGAATCCACTCCAAACTAGGGAAGTGGCCACAGCTAGAGCAGCTCTGCACTGACCACTCCACCCTGAACACTAATGTCTACACTGATCTAAGAAAGGTGGCCAGGGACTCAGTCGCTCAGAGGCCTGGCAAGGTCTAAAGAAGTAGGACCAGCTGCCAAAACCTCCCTGCCAGGCTGGTACCCCAAGGCAGGCATGGTCCTCAGACCCTCTCGCATTCCTGTACCTTGTCTCCTACCAATCCCTCCCCATTTCCAGTGCCATTAGAAGGCTTCTGCCTCCCGGCCTGCTGCAAGCTTTCCTTTCTTCACCAGCCCATCATACTGCCCTGAGCTGTCCACCATTGGCTCTGGTTACCACACCCTCCCAGGATCTATGGGCACTCAGTCTTCCAAGTTCTATGAAGTCCTTTCAACTACCTGGCATGGACACAGGCCCACATGCAACAGGATGAGCTTAGACTAGAACATCTTGGAGTAGGTGGCATCATTTCCCAGGAAATCTAGCCTGCCATCTATGCCATTAACTCCTTCTCATGGCCATTGTTTTTATTTGGATATAAAATAGCCTGAAGACATATTAAAGACTTTGTACCCAGCTGTTGGCACTAGTAAAAGGTGATTTTGATCATGAATCTGCTAACCTTGTCAATGGATTAATCCATTGATAAATTCCTGGCTGAATGGACTGCTAAGAGCTAAGGCTATAGTGCAGGAAGTGGCCCTCTGGGAGCATGTCTTTGAAGGCTTTATGTTATCCTTGACCCCTCTTCTCCCCTCTCTGCTTTCTGCCTTCCATGAAGTAAACAGCTTTACTATGCCATGCACTCTGACATGATGCCTTGATATAATCCCACAGCAAATGGAATCAGTCAACCCTGGCCCAAGGCTTGTAAGAACATGACCCAAAAATAAGACTTTCCTCCTTTTAAATTGTTTCTCTCTGATATTTCGTCGCAGCCACTGAAGACAGTGGAGAGGCAATCAGGAAAACAACCAGAAGTCAGAGGAACTGGGCTACAGCTCTCTCTTGGATGCTAGGGTCTTGCTTTGAGCATGGAGTTCTCGTGACTGTAAAGACAGCCAGGCTTTGCCGACCACCTCACACAGCCTGCCGGCTGTCCTAACACTACCACTGTCCTAGATGAAACTTGGGTTCCGAGAAGAGAGGTGAGTGGGCAGACAACTAACTACAAGTCTGACCCCACAGTTTTAGCCATACTGTCATGTTCTGAACCCCAACCTCTTCAGTAAGTATTGTCTCTGAGCTTCAGTTGTTTTGTCTATAAAATGAAGTAGTAACCTTCTTCAAGGGGCTTGAAGACAGCATGAGAGAAAAAGAGAAGGAGGGGGAGGTAAGGCCCACACAGTGGCCTGGCGTTTAACCAGAATTCAAACCATGAAAGCTACCATAATTTGTATCTCCCCATGAGGCATTCCAGCCCTCTTTCAGCCACTGTCCAATGGGAGTTCCCTGGACTAGTCCTGTACCTGCTGCCTCAGTCTCTGCATCTACAAGACAGGGCTGATGAGCATCTTCTTTTCAGGTTTGTTATAGAGAACTGAAGGCTGAGGCAGCCTTCCAGGATCCAGGACAATGCTAACCAGCAAGCAGTATTCCACAGGTACTTGTACAGATGGTGTATAAATGTGCTACCAAAGCCAGGACAGCACAGCTTTTGACTTGTCATCTGTGTTACTAAGTGACCTAAGCTGCTCACCCACCCCTCTCCATTTTGCCTTATTTATAGCCTCCTTTTTCATTTCCCAGCATTTTGTCCCCATGGCCAGGTCTCCAGGGCCCTTACCAGCGAGACGCTCAGCCAGTGTAAGTGCATGCACCGATGGCCGGTAGTCCGGGGCATGCTGAGCCTGCTGGGCTGCCTGCTGGTGCAGGTTGTACATGGCGCTGAGTGAATTCATAGCATGTAGAGAGTAGCCATTTACCCCGTAGTGCTGCATGGCGGCATCCGCCTGCAGATAGAAAGAGAGAGAAGGATCATGAGGTGTGGCTGTTTAATTCTATCCTGTTAGAGACATCAATCCCAGCCCAGAACATCAATGCCCACTTTACCCTGAGAACTACACCAGATCAGAAGATGGCCTAACCGGGTGCCGCTGGGACCCCTCTCTCATTCACCCACCCATCCAGGACTCTGCAGAACCTGGGATGCACAGTTAGATGACTTGATTAGAATCACACAGCTTTGACCCTTCAGCTATTTGTGACTTTGGAAAATTCACCTACTTTCTCTGACCCTCAGTTTCTGTATCCAGAGAAGGGCACAAACAGTAGGATTAACCTCCTGGGGTTACTGAGGACTAAGAAGGATTTACGATATGGCCTGGAATAATATGTGCTCAAAAGGGTTATTACTACCTAAGCATGGGGCCCACTTGGGCATGGATGCAGGTATATCAAGAGTTCAAAGCTATCCTCAGCCTCAGAGCTAGTTCGAGGCTAGCCAAGACTACATGAGATCCTGACTCAAAACAAACAAGCTAGTCTCTGCGACTGCCCGATCCATTTGCTACATTATATAACCCTTCATTGAATTCCCCAGGCATTTACTCATGTGTACATCCACTGACTTACTCGCACATGTATCTATTCAAGCAACACCACAGAGTTTCCCTGGAGCAAAGTCCAGAGCTGGATTCCCCACTGAGGCATTTGCTCTGATGAGAGAGTAATTTAAAACCCTAATATGCTTCACAGACATAAAACTATTGCTCTTACTGTTACACATTCACTGCCATTACCTCTTTTATTCTCACAAATCTCCAAAAAGCAAGCAAGCCAAGAACCACAAACCCCATTTGCAGGCTTAGGAAAAGAAGAATACCTTGTTAAGGCATACAGCCAATCCAAGGCCTGCCCTGCTCGTGTCACTGAGGTCAAATTCTCTTGCAGTTGATTGTCCCAAGAAGGATGTATCAAGGAACATATTTCTCCTGGTGAGATGTCTTGCATAAGCAAGAGGCTGTCCAGGCCCCATCAGCCCTAGGTCACCTGGACCTTGCAGTCTTTATCTGAGAGCAACATCCACCCTGCATTAGCTTGAAATGTCAGTTTTGGAAAGTGACTTCATGTTTGCATGAGGTAAAAATGGAAAGCAAGGCAATGCAGGTTCTTTTCCTAGGGGAACAGGTTCAGCCATTTCAGGTCCCCTTTCTTACTGAAATAGACATATGTATATACAACCAAGCATCCACCACATGCATACAAACACATACAATCACAGACAGCCCACACAGGCATAGATACAAATATATTCTTGGCAAAGCATTCACAGAAGCCTTCTTACCTACACCATCAATGCCATCACCCCAGGTTCCACACACAAACATTTTTATAGGTGTCTATTCATGTAGCAGATTCATCTATACACAGATATTATACCACAAGCATTGTACATGTATTTAACAACTACTTGTTAAATACCCACCTACCAAGTACCAAAACTCCCAGCTTCATGGAATTTACATTTCAGGGAAGTAAGACTAAAATAAAAAAATATATAAATGTACTAGGTCTGATGTTGTAGGCCTGTTATGTCACCTATCTAGACACTCAGGCCTGAGCAACTTAGTGAAACCTTGTCTTGAAATAAAAATAAAAAAAGGGCTGGGAATACAGTTCATTGGTAGGGCTCAGTATGAGTACCTAATGCCTTCAACTCAATCTCCAGTGTGGTGGTAAAAATACCTCTCTGTCTCTCTCTCTGTGTGTGTGTGTCTGTCTCTCTGTGTGTGTGGTGTTCTCTCTCTCTCTCTGTGTCTGTCTGTGTGTGTGTGTGTGTGTGTGTGTGTGTGTGTGTGTGTGTGTGTGTGTATACATGCACATTTGTGCATGTGATTTGAGTTAGGTGTATGTGTGTACAAATGTGCATATAAAAGCTAGAGATCAGTCTCAGGCATCATCCCTCAAGAAACATCCACCTTTTTTTGAGACACAGTCTCTCATTGTCCTGTATATTGCTAATTCTGTAGGCTGAGTGGCTAGCAAGCCCCAGGGATCCATGCTTGCATAGCAAATACTTTATGGAAGCATTACTCCAGTCTCCATGTTTCTTTCTTTTTATGTGGGGATAAGGTTTGAGGCAGGATTTTTCTGTGTAACAGTCCTGGCTGTCCTGGAACTTGCTTTGTAGACCAAGGATGACCTTAAACTTACAGAGATTTACTTCTGCCTCCTGAGTGTCAGGACTAAAGGAGCGTGCCACCACCTTCTGGCTCCTAATTTCTTAATAAAGTTTATTATGTTTTTATTTACTTTGTGTGCACATGTAGGGGTGTGTGTGTATGTGTATGTGTGTGTGTGTTTGTGTGTGTGTAGGTCAGAGAACAATCTGTGGGTCATTCTCTCCTTCCACCATCTGAGATCTGAGATCAAACTCAGACTGCCAGGCTTGGTGGCAAGCACCTTTACCCATTGCATTGAGCCATCCTACCACCCCTAGGACGTTGCCTTTTGGTTTGTTTGTTTAATTTATTTAAAGCTCATTGTAGGCCAAGGCATAATAGCATATGCCTTTAATACCAACACTCAAGAAGCAGAGACAGGAAGATCTCTGAGACTTCCAGGCCAGCCAGGGCTAAATAGTGAGACCAATCTCCAAAACAAACAAACAAAGGCACCTCCACCTCATTGTGTTACTGTGTGCAGAACAGACTGAAGGGGCAAGAAGAAAAGCCGACAATTGCTGTAGAGTCGCAGGTGTTACCCAAGCTATGTTCACTGGGTGGGAGGGAGGTGACTTCTAGATACAGTTTGAAAGTGGCATGACATGATTACTCATAGGTTAGTTACAAGATGTGAGGAAAAGCGAGGACAGTGGTGGCAGGGTGTGGGGTGGCTGGGGGATTGGGAGAAGCCATGGCAAATGTGAAATGTGAATCTAATTTCCATGTGAGAATGAGCTGGCAGCTGGGTGTAGAAGCCTAGGGCTGGTGGCTGACATCTTCCAATAGTTATAGAAGCCCACTCTATGCACCACAAACATGAGCAGGAATCGAAGAGAAGAGAAGGAAAGGCATGTTGATAAAATGTGTTTAAACATTAGTACTGCAGGTGGTGGTTATGGTGGTGGCACATGCCTTTAATACTAGTATTGGTGAGACAGAGGCAGGAAGATCTCCAGATCTGAGGACAACCTGATCTACAGAGTTCCAGGACAGCCAGGGCTACACAGAGAGACCCTGTCTCGGAAAGCAAACAGAAAAAAGTAAGTATGACAGGATAAGCCACAAAGCTCAACAAACAGAAAAATACTAAACATATCAATAACATAATGAATAGAAAAATTAAAAAGGACATCTCAAAACTATTGTTTTGTTTGAACCCACAGTCCTGGACATGCTGTGCAAGCACTCTACCAACTGAGTTGTATGTCCAGCCCTAATGTATGGAGTTTAGTATTGACGTAAGATAAGAAAAGACAAGTTAAGGAAATGAAGAAATAACTCATTAAGGAAGCAACATTAGGAGCCAAGTGACATATGACAAAAACCTTAGCTATAAACACAGAAAGGAAAAGAAGAACAATAATTTATTTTTCACCAATTACATTATCAAACACAGAGAACAATTATTATCCAGGGTTACTACACAGGGAAGTGGTAAATGGTCCTTCTCCTACCTCACTGATGGAAAAGCTCTTTATTCTCTGCATCAAAGGCCTTCAGAGAGTAAATCATCTTTCATTTAACAATCCCATTTCTAGAAATTTATCCCTCAAGTATGCAGAGATATGTGTACAGGAATATTTATCACATCACTGCTTATGATGGCAAACAATTGGAAAACTAACTGTCCATCGAGAAAGGATTAGTTCAGCAAATGAGGGTATGGTCACGGCCCACAATGAAATACAGCACATAGCTTAAAACAATGATATGTGTCTATATGTGCTGATGCTCGCAATATATGGCTGGGTGGAAGAAATAGGTAACAAACAGGATGCCTGATGTGATCTCATTTTTGTAATGTATGAATAAATATGCATAGGAAAAAAAGTCTAGAAGGTTATGCCCTGAAATGTTGACAGAGGTTATCTCTAAGAGATAGTAGATGGGATTACAGGAAATTTCCACATTTATATATTTATCATATTTATAATCTTCTGAGTGTTGTTGGGGTGGGTGTGAGTGGGTGGAGGGTTATTGTATGTTCCAATGGATGCAGAGATAGAGCTAGGCTTCAAATGGTGTCACAGGCTCTAGATGAAGCAGGGAAACAAAATGTGAAAAAAAAAATCTCGTCTGTCCTCTTCCCCAGCCCTGTGACTGCAATGGCACTCCCCCACCAAACTCGGGGCTTTACTGCTTAAAAGCATACTATTGTATGCAGTGGCATTTTAGTTCACTTAATAATTGATGATCTCCGTTTTTGGTGCACAAAGAGTTGGGTGGTTGTTGTTTTGCTTTTTGAGCTGAGGTTTTTTTTCTTTATAGTCCTGGCTGGCCTGGAACTCCCCATCTAATTCCAAACTGGCTGAAAACCCAGAAATCTACCTGCCCTGCTTTCCAAGTGCTGAGATTGAAGGTGTGCACTCCCATCCCAGCACAAAGCATCTTCAGCAATTGAGCCAAAGGATGCATCACTCTGCCCCATAAATGCCTCAACACAGCAGCCTTTGGTCCCCAAGGCTTTCCCAGTCTGGCTTGCCCTCCACCTCTCTGTCCAGCCTGATGCTCTGCCTTTTTCTCAGCACCCAGCAATGTCCATCACTCCTTGTCACTTTCTCCTATAACCCAGAAACAAAGACTTTTCCTCCCCTTCAACTGACAAACTCCTGCTTCTTCAGGAGTCCTAGCTCAAGGACTCCTCCCCCAGAGAAGGGTGTCCCTGCAGGCTATGTGAAGGCATCTCTTCCTTCTCCAGACTCTAGACAAGTATACTTGAGGCACAAAACTAACGACAATCACAACTACAACAGCTCCCATTTACATAACACACTTGCTGTACC